GTACACCCCCCCCTTGATTATGCTAATGTACGAATAAAAGGGAGGCACGGAGAGGCTTGAGGGTCTTTGCCTGCCATCTCACCTGAAGAAGCATGTTGCCCGTGTGTTTCCTGATCTAAAGCGAGGCCCGTTGGTTTAGGCCAACGTACATCACCACCGTCCCGCAGGGAGCGGGACCCCGGGATTTTGCGATCCCACAGTATTTTCTATGTACCTGTTCCAACTGCTGCTTTTATAATTATTTGAATTAAGATTACTTTTTCTAATATTTAAAATTTCCTAAAGTATTTATTGTGGCATTTTTGTTCATTAATCAAATATGTTCAATTAATTTAAAAGAATGAAACGTCACAGCTTTTAATGCTAACTTTATGGGTCACAATGCCCATAAGACCTATCTGGTCTAGTGGTTAACCTATTGTACTGACCTAGAAATCAGGAGACTGAGTTCTAGTCCTGCCTTTGGCATGAAAGCTGGCTGGGTGACTTTGGGTCAATCACTCTGACCAACTCTCCTCACAGAGTTTTTGTAGTGGGGAAAATATGAGGAGGAAGGATTATTAGGTTTGTTTGCTGCGTTGAGTTATATAATAAATAATAAAAGCAGGATAAAAATGTAATAAAACTTATCTACCTGATCTATTTTTATTTTCTCCTTTTTGTTGTGTCTTGCTTTTAATTTATAAGATTGGGAACAGCAACATTCTTATTTTTCTTTAACTGATAAGCTGCTATGGGAAAGAGTAATATGAAAAATGGGATAAAGCTGCAGCAAATGAATAAGGAAAAATAATTTGAATAAATTTCAGAGCAGTAAGGAAAATCGACTTTCATCTAAACTTATATTTTCTTGATTATTGTAATGCTTGATCTTCCCTCCTATAACAAGATCACAAAAGAACTCTGGACATCTTGACAGCTGTCCTTACTAAGAGAATAAATGGCTTTCCTAACCAAAATGATACGTTCTGATCAGATTACTAGTCAGCCTGATAGCATCACTATCTGGGAAGATCCTGGAAAAAAATAATTAAAAAAGAGTTCTGCCAACACCTAGAAACTGTCAGAATCCAATTATATTTCATCTCTAGTTATCGACTATGGAAAACCCCATTTCTGCCCTCTCTGGATTCTGTCATACTACGAAGGGGAAAGGGGATGAGCAAAGGGGTTTATGGCTCTCACTTCCTTCATTAAAACTTCAAAGGGACTGAATGTGGATCTCACCAAGAGGACTGACCATAACAATATGGCCATCACCTTTCATGTACTACTCTCTGAAGTCTCCCTTCCGCCGGCCGTGAGGAAAAGGGGATGGAAATGTAACACCTGGAATTGTCGCTGGAAGGATGGCGGGGTGGGGGGCTGCTTGGGAACACTTAAAACCTTGAATGGTAGGGGTGGGCCCTCAGGTCCTGTCTAGAACGCCTGCAACCATCTTCTCTTAAAGATGCCTGTTGGAAGAAATATACCAAGAGTTCTGTCTTCTTAAGATGCAAAGTGGGGTGGGTCCTTACATTAGACAGGACCTGCAGAATTAGTCCACCTGGAAGGGAGAATCTTGCCAGGGAACTTTGCAAAAATTACCATGTCAGATGATGGAGCAGGGAAGG